GTCCATAATTAGGTTTCAGGACAAACGGGCACTCAAAAAACCAAAATAATGTCCCTTTATACAACCCAGACGGGGTCTCATTTTAAGAAGAGCCTCTATCTGAGTTTATCTCTAAACTACCTTGCAGACAATGCTGGTATGACACTCTTTTCGATCAAGAGCCTCAGCCTGGCCTCGTCACAGACAGTGTTCAACCCAGACGGTGATCCTATTGCAGACGTGGTCGACATCACTATGCGTGCAAGTTCTATTGGAAATAATACTGTCGATTGTAGGCGTGAATGATATGCGCGTCGCACACTGAACATGACCATATATATTTTGATGTAAAAAATTCGATCGCGCAACCGTTGACCGCCTCTTTGCTCATCTCTCGCTGGATCACTTATTTCTAGTACACTTCTTCTATGACCCTTACGATTGGTCATTCCCTCCGGATCTTGTTGTCCGTGGTCTACTGGCCACACCTTCTCTCAGTGACTTGGGTTTAGATGAAACATGGAATCATGAAGATCCCGCGAATCTGAGTAAAGTACTTTGTAAACTTTCTAGGATAATGCAAGTAAGGGATGAAATTGTTTTTTTTTTTTTTTTGTATATATTAGCAATCATGAGATATCAACATATTGATCATGATCACGGACTAATAACTTTTTATCCAGCAAGGAGAGCATCAGAGAGTTGCTAATTGCGAAAACGAGAGGATTCAAATTGAATATTCCTGTCTGCAAGAGATGGAGGTATGGTATCTTACTACTCCTTGCTATAGTATAGGCTGGCCTGAGTTTGAGTGCTCTGGGCTAATATCTATTTAAAAAATAAAAAAATAAAAAAATTATAGGAAATGGACTGTTGTTTGATCCCTGGCTCCGATTCTCCAACAAAAGTGATATTTGCGGTACCCTTCGATGTATCATATTCAAGAGAAGGCAAACGGCAGCGGATAAAATGTTAGTGCTATTCTGCAAATGATTGCCTGGATTCAAAGGTATATTTTTGACGAGGAAGCTCTGACTGATGATGTTTTTGCTTGCTTATAACTAGTTGTGGCTAAGGTTCAGTTTTCGATCAGTTCACTTGTAACAAATGCGGTGACTCAAGTTCAGAGCAAGGTCGAAGCACTATCTCCATTTGACTTTCCTGATCTCCTTCAATCAGTATGTCATAGCCAACAAACTTGCATCTGAATATAAGGGATGAAAAAAAAAAAAATCCAACACGTTGTTTTGCTTTTTTTTTTTTTTTTTTTTTTTTTTTTCCTATTCCCTGACTGTAGATATCGAGTATCGGGATGACTGAGCAGATCACAGACTACATTGAACGCGTTACGGACAATATCCGCAGTTTCTTCGAGAAGACAGAGAGAGCAAAGCAGCTAAAGAAGGAGTTTGTCAATGCAATGATGGATACATTTCACAAGTATGGTCTTTATGACATTGACAAAGATCAAGGAGGTTTTATAAAGATTTTTTGAATACAAATTTGTCTCATGTTGCTCAACAACCCACTTGTACACCCTTGATGGCTTTTTTTTGCTAAATAGTCATCTGCTCGAGTTCGATGCCGTTAATTACAGCTTTACGTCATTTATATTTACTATTTCAAAAGATAAAGCTCGCCAGGAGCCTCCATCAACAGCAATAGCAACATGTAAGTAAATAATTTTTCTTATTATGGATTACGACCCTCTAATGGTAGCATACCTCTTATACACAAAAACCTTTCTTCCTGGATAGTTTATTTGTCTGATCGTTTCCCGAATGAATATCCAAAGCTGACATTGGCTGTTCCGATGGTCCCTGGCTCTACATACAAACCAACACCGTCTCCTGAAGTCATACCCATCAGCCGATATAGTCCACGATGGGGTGTGGATCGGATTGTCACAGAGATTTGGTCAGTTCTTTATATTATTACTATCACTACTATCACTATATTTATTGCTAGCGTAGTTTGTTTGTATCCCAAGCTCAAAAAGTCTCAAGTATAAACATTAACTATCTGTAATTAATTTGACGTTTCTAGGGAGCAACTGTGGGATGAGATTCCGCGATTTCATGCAAAAATGACACACGCTATGTCAAATGCGTAGTGCGACGTAAAAATCTCAATAAAAATAAAAATAAGAATAAAAAATAAAAATACTATACGATTGGCCCCAGAGTCTTTAAACAGTATCTGGTATATAGCCTCTATTTGTCAATATATATTAAAATGGCGTGTTTGTTTCCGAAGCTAGGGGTGCTCCCTGTTATTTGTTTCTTGCTCCTTTTGATCTTCTGCGGACCAAAACCAGCGAGTCATCGACTCGGCCCACCATCCTCGCTCTTGATCGCGTAGTGATTTTGAATCCAAGCTCTCTGGGCGGTAACCATTTTCAGTATTAAAAGGAGGAAGACCATTTTCATCGAGATAGTCCCTATGTAATGGTGGTTTCTTCCAATTAACATGAGTCTCATCCCTCATTTTGCCTGTACCCGCGCTCTCATCATCAGAGGAAGGACATGACATCATGGACTTGGCGCCCGACAACGACGAAGATTCTGCGTCAAATTTAATCTCACGCGCTAACGGCGATGACGCAGAATGTGGAGGACTCCTATAAGCACTTGAAGGCGATGAAGGAATCATTATCCCTCCTGAGGCCATTGTGCCAGGAGCATTACTTTGAATATTGGATGTCATCAATGTTAAACGTAAATGATTCGATAGTGGTAATAGTGGTGAGGATAATGACAAGGAATCCTGATGATTGATAGGTTGGTCATTTTGGATGCCAGTGGAGAGTGATCCATGTGCTTCTAGGTCTGTTCGTATACTTTCTGGTTGTACTATACTTGCGGAAGCCGTTCCTGCAGCAGCATCCACACTAGAATGCACCGTTGGACGAGGCGGCTTCGTGTACCACCATTCAGAATCGAATTCTGAACAATCACTGCTAACCGAGGATGCGTCCCAGTTATCATCACGGTCTCGATCCTTATCATTGCTCCACATGGGCTTAAAAGCAGTTTTGCTACTACTATGTACAAGAATAGGGGCTCCATTGCGAATAGCCTTAATATTTGAGGATACCGGCTGAGACGGAGGGGACGAAGGTGATATAGGCGGAAGGTTGCTGTTAGGTTCATCCAGGTTTTGAGGTGAAGGAGGGGTATTTTCTAAACTTGTTCTCTCTTGACTGCCACCACATTCTGGTTTCCCTTCCTTTGTCCCCTCCCTTCCACTCCCTCTCCCAAATCCAAATAGCGCAAGTGCAGAGTTCTTTTGTGCTGTTGAAGATCTTACGGTTGAGAAGAATGGAGGTAAAACCTCGATGCTGTTAGGTCCGTTATGGTTCCTATATTTGAGTAGGATCGCGCGGTTGGGAAGACTGTCTAGAGTTGGTAGCGGCGACTGTTGAGCCAGTGCTGGGGAGAATCGGACGTTGACCTTGAAGTCCTTATCAAAGATTGAATGTAGCTTATCTTTGCAGGCTTTATCCACTTCATGCTTTTTTAGGTCCAGGATATTCTCTGTATCGTCAATGAACGTGGTGTTGAAATGAAAATGGCAGAGATGGGACTACAAACATCAAATATCAATGTCAAATGCGGCAAAGCGGGTTAGACAAGGTAACTCACAGCAATCCTCTTCCTCAAGGGTAATGGGTAATAAGAACAATATATAAGTAAATAAATAAAAAGATAACCTACTCTTTTGTACAGGCTGTCATACCAGAGCATCATTTTGACATCACCCGCAAGGACGATTTTATCAGTGATGCTTATTCTGATCCGCTGATTTGTGTGATCGATAGTGCACTGGCATTGGCGTTTTTTAGATAATGGAATAGATTTGGTAATTTTAGCATGAGGTCACTTCATATCTCAAATAGTAGATCCAACTGGCATCTACTTATTAGACAAATATTTTGCTTACATGATCTGGTAAAGATTCGTAGATCTTAACCTCTCCGGTCAATATAGTTAAAACTAAATCTAAGAATCAAAAATATATACAAAAAACTATTATGAGTTCCTTGTTTCATATATGACAAGCTCAGGATACACAAGCTGATCTTTCGTCTCTGCCTTACAGTTTGCTCCATTCTCCTGGCTCAATAATGGTTTAGGTATAGTGTCGATAGTTATTTCATGTAGAGTTAGCAGACGTGGATCGTAATTAAGAGTCCTGCTCTCCAGAAATTGTTCATAATAGTGAATGTAGCGTATTTGACTAGGGATAGTAACACCCTACAAAGAATTAAAACCTAACGATTAGCTAAACAGGATAGTCTTTTAGCTGAAAAAAAAAAAAAAAAAAAAAAAAAAAACTGGAAGGGAGGATATTTAATACATTCACCAAATCGACTTACGCAACCATCAAGCGTTCTCTTTTCTCCATACAGCTTGATAGCTTCAACTGCTGTTGCGCCGCAATGGACTAGGAATGCACAGATCATCACACCTGTTCTTCCTTTTCCAGCTTTGCAATGGACGGCAACAACATTCCCAGGAGTTGTGTGTAGCCAATCGGAGACATCTTCACAAAAAGGGTGAATCAGTTGAAAGGGCGGTGGTGAATGATCTGGAAATGGGAACTGTGCGACTAAAAAGCAATATTTTTAACAAGTTAAAAGAGGTGAATGTCTTGAGACGTCAGCAATAGTACATTGCCAGCACTGTGCATCAATCCGAGGAGGAGGGTCTTTGATGGGGATGTAAAGAGCTATCCAAGTGTCCATACCTCGACCATGGAACCGTTGATCAGAGTAAGATTTCTCGGAGCATCTATTAGAGCAATCGAGATAATGCATAGAATTTAAGTCGAATAAAGTATTCTTATGGGTTAGATTACGTCATGGAACGCGTGCCGCAACTTTGAAATTCAAAATCTTGAGCCAATGGAAGAGAACAGGGCACGCACGCACGTCCCACAAACAAACAAACAAAAAAAAAATGTGACCAAACAACAGGAACGGAATGACCGCATGCATTCGTGAGCTGGTGGGTGCGTTTGCCTGTCTTTTTTTTTTTTTTTTTTTTTTTTTTCCTATTATATTGCAAATTAATTGAACCTACAAGTTGTAGACTTTATATTCGCCTGGATGACGAGAATCAAGGAACCTGGAAATCAGATCAAAAGACAGAAGAAGGTCAAGGTTCAATTTTTTTTTTTTTTTTTTTTTTAAAAAAAAAAAAAAAAAAAAGTACAATAAAAAAGGGGGAAGTGAACCTACTTTTCGACATCACTCATGGGATTACGATAAAATGCCTCAAGAGATTTTGAAGGATATCCCATGGCAATGAGCGAAGGCGTGATGTAGGCTAGGTCCAGATCCAGACCAGCCTCTTTGTCGATGAACCGTCGCTATTAACAACAAATGTTTTTTTTTTTTTATTTTTTTTTTTTATTGTTTATTTAAAATAAGGAATAGCAAAATATGAATGTGAATATAAATTGTTAACATTCAAATTGATACCCAGCACTCTCACTTGTTGAATAAGAAGTAGTCGGCTACCTTTTGTTTTGAAACTGCATGGCGAAGTAGATTCATTCACGATTAGTGGAGGTGTGTGAAAAAGTTTAGGCTGGAAAAGTGTGAATGGACGTGAACTGTAAATGGTTATGTTGTGGCTGTGGGGTAAGTGTGCATGGACGACTGTTAAAAAATAAAATTATGTCGACGACTAGACGGAGGACTGTGCAAACAGCTGCTTCAAAAAATTGGATGCAGAATGAGTTTTCTTGACAGAATGAACAATGCAATGAAGAAGAAGAAGAAGAAGAGAATGAAGTACAGGGTGTTTTATCTTTTTTTATTTTAAAAAAGTGCACTCCTTTTTTTTTTTTTTTAAAAAGGAGGTCAGGCGAGGCCATTTGGCGTAGAAGAAAAGGTATCAAACTCGATGTGCGCTTGGCTACACCCCCTTGCCACCACAACACATGGCATGCCCACAGTCAACAAGTCATCATAATCTTGATCGCAGCCATACATTGACGTTATAGTCATATATCATCTGCGCCATGATTTGGTAATCCATGTGGATGTAACACAGTCCACACATGTTCATGGAAGAGAGGAAGAAGGTCGACAGCATGTTCATGTTTGAATTAATGCGATCGAGCAATTGGTATTGGGGCAAAGAAGATACACGTGTCGATTGTATACTCTGGATTTTGCACATGCCCGTTAACGGATACTAGATTGTCCCCAAGTAATGAAAGGGCTTTGACTTTGAGCTCTCAAATGTTCTCCCCTTGCATCTATCCATTTTTCTTGCTCTCAGTAAACAAGCCCTTTTTTTTTTTTTTTTGTTCGCTTTCAGCAATCACAAAAATTGCATTCTGTTTTCCATTCCATTCTCACGACTTACTCCATGACATTTTCTCACACATAAGACATTCATACCTACACTGATACACAAAACACATTGATACACAGATACACAAACACACATGACAGTCAAAGCTCGTTGGCTATACCCTTTCCGAGGGATCACCTACTTCCTCTCTAACCCCAGGCTTTGGCCTCGGGTGATCCTGCCTTTTGTCATTTTACTGCTCGTTACTATCGCACTATTGATTTTAGCATTCACTTACCTCATGCCCCTCCAGGCTGATTTTCTGATTCGGCACTCTTGGCCTAGCTGGATCGCCTATACTGTTTCAGTACTTTTTACTTTACTTGAAGCAGCTCTTGGATCTTTGGTCGTATACCTTGCTTTGATGCCCCTGTGGGAAGATGGTAAACATCTTGTGTTTGTGCCATGCATGAATAAGCTAACAAAAAGTAGTAATCTGAACCATCTTGTTGACTGTCGATCTTTTCTTTTCTTTCCAAGCACTGTTTGATGCCGTTCTTAGAAGTAGAAAACTTGGTTATATCATTGACGCAGCACATGGCGACTATCGTACGTGTATAAACGGAGTCCTTGCTAGCATCTATATCATCGTGTTCCAGTCCACTGTGCTGTTGCTCTTCCAGGTATAAATATTTAACAAAATTCTGCTTTAGTGACCCTAAATACGTTTTACATAAACTTTGTAATAACAACTAAAAACACCTTGTAGGTTGTGACGCTCATTGTGCTACTCCCGCTTCATGCCGTTCCCGTAGTTGGCACAATCATCTACTGTTACCTCAATGGCTGGGTCGTATCATTTTCCAAACGTATTCACTACGACGTGGAGCTATGCAAGAAAAAGTAAGTACTATGTCTTGATTTGCACGCTTTTTACAATAGATTCTATTGACACTAATCTGTCTCTTTTCTTTACATGTGTATAACCTATAGCGTAAGCCAATCTAGGAAATATGCCTGGGAACACAGGGTCGAGTATTGCGAATTTGGTGCCGTGGCTGTCTTCTTGGAGATGACACCAGTTCTGAATCTGCTTTTCTTCTGGACGAACGTAGTTGGTACGTTTATACCTTTTTTCTTTTCTTTTTTTTTTTATGCTGTGGCCTATCTACCCTCCATAATACAGTCTCTGATTTTTTTTCTTATTTAGGCGCAGCATTATGGGTTGCTGATGAGATTGATGAGGCTAGGAGACAGGATCGTATTGCAAGCAGAACAGCGGCAGATCATGGCCACTTCGGATCGCAATATGTGACATTCCATTCGTATGGCACGTCGTCGCCTGGATTGCCAACTGAGCCACTCCTTGCTGGCCATACTTATGAAAATCATGGTGGTGGAGACAATCATCTGCCTCCTCAATACCAATATCAGGCATCACCTTATACAGTGCACCAACAGCAGCAGCAATACCAACAGCAGCAGCAGCAACAGCAGCAACAATATCAACAGCATCAACAGTACCAGCAGCAGTATTACCAAGGGCAGCAGCATACGGGTTCTGGTCACTATTGAGTACCTCGGAAGTGACGGTGCCAACAATGTCTGAATACGTTCGTAAAAGAAAGAAAATTAATCTTGTTGAAACTTGTCCTGTCCTCGTTTAATAAAATAGACTTAAAACTTCAGAGCATCAAAAACAACTTTATTGTATTTAAAGATTTTTTGTGTAGACCAATGAAAATATTCTTTCCCTGTCAAGACTGGTTGGAAAGAAAAGTAGCCTCGTCTTTTTTTATCATCACTTTTTTTTTTTTTTTTTGAATCATCCTTCTCATCTCTCTCATCCTTTTCTTCTCACTGTTTTCTCTCATCACTGATTTTCGACTTTACACATTCCTGTGGACAGAAAAAAGAAAAAGAAAAAAAAAAAAAAAGGAGACAAGGGAATAACCAGACAATATCATTATTTCATACTTGCAACTATGGCTGCAAAGTCGAGCACTAAGGACCTCAAGACCACTGGCACGAAGCGGCCATATAAGAAGGCTGAAGCACCTGTCTTTCAAGGATTCGTAAAAGTACTACATCTTGAAAGCATCTTTGAGAATGACAAAGGTAAACTGATCTTTTTTTTATATATCTTTCTATCCTAATCTCTCTATTTATTTCTTTCAATTCTCTACTTCAATGGCATTATTCCATGGATACGAACAAAATGAGAAGAGGATGTCGTTGGTTGCTCAGAAAAAAGTGAAAGCGTTGTTGCAAATGAATTATATAAAGATGATCGAACGGAAGATTTTTGTAACCTGATTTAGTGAACTCATATAGTAAGGAAGAAGAGGAGATTGAGGGTGGGTGATGAATAGCAATAAGCTTTTAGGAGGCAATTGAATCATTCAATTGAATATTGACAAAATAATACGATGCCTGGAGAAAAGATGAAGCCCAGAGAAGAATGATAGATGAGTTTTTGAAAAGAGTAAGTCCATTGGACTTTCTTTGTGTTATACAAGAGAGGGAGAGGGGTTTTTTTTAATAAGGAGGAATATCTTTATTTATTTATTTTTAATATGTTGTTTTGGGAGGAAGCTCGTGCATGTTTTTCTCAAACGAAAAGGCTTTTCCAATCAAGATCTTTTATTTTTCTGAGGCATTCGGAAGCGGAAAAGAATAATGTTGTCACTTTATGGTCTAGATCCTTCCTTCATTTCCATTTCCTGAAAAATCCTCTTTATTGATGTCGAGCATTCTTTATATGGATAAAAAAAATTTAGATCTCGCCTTGAAGATGATGGGTACTATTTTACTCGGCTCAGGATTTGGTCTGGAGTGGTGCAAGAACATGCTCAAGTTGTCTTATCCTGTTCAGGATGAGCTTACACAACCAGGCGAGAGCTGGCTAACAGCTCGTTATACGAAGGGACCAAATGATCTTGCATTTGTGGCGTTTTGGATCATTGCCTTCACCTACATCCGCGCACTCTTCATGAAGACCTACTTTACTCCCTTGGGCAAGAAACTGGGAATCCGAGGCTCAAAGCTGGAGCGATTCGAGGAACAAATGTACATTTTAGTGTACTACATTATTTCGTGGTGCAGCGGCATGGTAATTTTTTATTTTATTTTTTTTTACCCGCCGTGATGTGATTGGCCAACATCAGATATTAAAAGGAGTGTATTGTCCCTTTTGTGATTGACTAAAATGCTAACCCACTATTCGAACCATTACATTTTCACTTACCTTTGGAATTAGTATTTGATGTACAACTCGCCATACTGGATGAATACTGACCACTATTGGATTGGATACCCTCACTATAAGATTACCGGTGCATTCAAGGCTTATTATTTAATCCAGTTCGGATACTGGTTGCAGCAGATTTATGTCGTCAACACAGATATGAAGCGCAAGGACCATTTGGCCATGTTGATCCACCATTTCATCACTTGTACATTAATTGGATGGAGCTATGTAACCCATTTGACCCGCATTGGCAATGCTATTCTGGTTGTCATGGATGTCTCTGATGTTTTCCTTGCTGTATGTATACTTCTTGATCGAAATAGTGGAGAGCAAAAAAAAAAAAAAAAAAAAAAAAAAAAAGTACATGAAGTTTTTATTTATCTCTCTCTCTCCCTCGCTTTTTCTCTCAATAAAAATAGATCCCCAAGGTCCTCAGGTATCAAGGTTATAGCGCTGTATGTGACTACCTCTTTGGACTCTTTGTGATTTCATGGGCTATTACTCGCCATTACCTCTTCCCTATCATCATCATGTCACTCTACAACAAACCCCAGATGTTCTTGGACATGAAATGGGACCCTGAGAACCACAAATACATGAGTGTCAATGTTCAACGTGCTTTCTTGGCCTTGCTGTATGGATTAGAGGCCGTCTTGTGCTTCTGGTTCCTGATGATCTTCAAGGTCATCTACAAAATGTTTAATGGTGCCCCCGCTGATGATAATCGTAGTCACGATGAAGATTCAGGCGAGGAGGAGACCGTTGAATCTGAGGTCGTCGAAAAGCGTTCTGTTTCTTCTGCTGCAAGCGGTACCAAAAAGCGTGCAAATGGAAAGAAGGCATAGAAAAGGAAAAGCAGCTTCTTTTATATATATAGCCTTTTCACTACACCACAGTGCACCGGCAAGAAAGGAAACACCGGCTCGATATAGTTATTCGAGTTTTGGCGTTCATTTTTTTTCTGATTAGTTAGTATTTTCTTTAACAGTAATTAAATATCGTTTTTTAATATGTTTTATGTCTAATTTACTCTTCACTTTCACTGTCGGAAGCAATCAAAAACTCTTGAATCTGTTCTCGAAGGCTTTCACGAGGATCCACATCGGTATCTTTGGCCACAAATGCATTTTCGTAATCCTCAAGTGATTTGTAGCCCACACGATCCAAGATAGTCCATGCGACATATGGAGGTAGCTCAAATTGAGAGGTCTCGTCTCCGTTCAAACTGCCCATTGATTTGAGGTTTAGATCACGAAGGTTCGTTAGGCATCCATAGCAGAGAAGAGATGAGAACGGGAGTGGTGGTTTTTCGTCTGTAGAATGACTCTTTGTAGAATTTTGTGTACAAGATGAAGATGAGTTGATGGATCGGTTACTGTTGCTACAGCAGCTAGTTCCCACTGTTGAAGAACAGCATGTGTCGTTAAAATCTTTAGCAGTCTCCTGATCATCTCTTGAAGGTGGTGTTGTGACTGTAATCCTTTTTTTCCATTCCTGGACGCCAGCCTGTACGGGTCCATGACAGAGCGGACATTTATCTTGATACTGAACATCTGGTGGTGTCAGCTTGGCCGCAGTCCTACAGACTGTTGCTGCGGTAGAGGGGAAGTCTTTATCAAGACCGATGATGAATTCCTCTGTCAACTGCTTAATGCTCTTGATCTCACCCTTACTTTGAATTGTCCAGCCTAATCTTGCAGTATGTTTCTCAATCACCTCCAAATTGCTCAGTCTGCATAGTGTATCCAACTCTTTCGCAAGACAGTCCTTGAGCGGTCGAATGACCTTGCAGCCTTGTATCCAGTTTGACTCTAGCGAAGTTTCATGAGGCAGAGAGAAACCACGTCCAATAGCAGTGAGCCCAATAATCTGTATTGCCACTCTAGTTGCAGAATCTCCAAGCGCAAGGATTGTACAATCAGCACGTTTTGCAAGTTGAGCGAGTAAACTAGATCGGATGTGCCCCAAGATCGTTTCCTTGGCTGTCAATGTTGTACATGCTGCCAACAGTGCTTTAAGCTTAGCAATCTTTTCCTGTCGAGACATTTTCTGCCGCCTCGTTGTTTCAGATGATAATCCTGGTGGTCCTGATGATGTAGAGAGAGGAGACATGGGATGAATATGAGAAAGTAATTCGGGTGCTTCACCAGATATGGCCAGTTGATCCTTAGGGAGTGATGTGACTAACGTTGCCACTGCCTCAAAACAATGTGAATCAGCCCACTCTGGATCATAAATATCCTCGATTCGCACTCCATGAAAAAGATAATTATAGTGAGCAGCAATAGATCGGGCCTGTTCCATTGTCGAGCCGTCAAGTTTCTCCTCCTTGATCTCTTTGCTATGTGAGTCGTTCTGGCCTTGCGACTGTATTTGTGTTTGTAAGGAGGATGGCTCGAACAGACATGATTCATCAACATGGCAAACGTGAATATCATTGTAGATCTTTGGTTGCTGTTTGTTTGAGGTAACCTCCGGGGGTAGCGAATGAAATACGTCGAATAGGTGTATAAGTGATCTTGAATTAAATAGAATTAAATCGGAAGTAAGTCAGTAAGAAGCCATACAAAACTTTTCTTCACTACAATCAAAAATGCAGATCCATTTGTCAATGTCATCCATACCTCGACGATGAACCTCCTGAGAATGCGAGCATGACATTCTCCGGATTGGTGACTCTGTATGGTCGAGCATTACGCAGAGCTGTCCTGAATTTGGAATCGAGAGCAATTAGAAAACATGGGCTGTATATTTTTAAAAAAAAAAAAAAAAAAATAGAATAAGTTATGAGTAACAGAACAAACAAGCCAGCTACTGTTGAGAGGCGATTTTTTTAACATTCTCAGTAAATATTTGTAAGAGAACATACTCGCAATATTCGGCATATCTAACAATAATGGTAGACCGGGTAGTTTTACACTTGCAGCAAAAGCCGACATGAACTGCCCTTGCCTTGGCTATTCATTGACAGTTTGTTAGTCCTGGAGATCTCTTTTATAATTTCAAATAGAGTTCAACCAAATGTCGTGCTAAATTGAGCCACAAGATGTACCTCGCTTTTCAGCCACTGTCATTGTGGGTTCATCTATTGAGCATGACATGTTGGAGTGTATGTTGAATGAAAGATATGTTGAATGAATGGCGAGGTTTTTTTTTTTTTGATGTATTTCTTGCGCCACCATTGATCATGTGACGAAGCGCCACTAAATCAATTAAAGAATTTATAATGAATGTTGTATTATTCAGTTTTTACATTACAAATAAGTTCTTCCAAATCACGATTATACTCCTAAAGCTGATCATGCAAAGTAGGCTTTATCCCTTTTTCTTTTATATCTGATAAGCATCAAGTGTGTGGTCCTTGTCAAGATGTGAAGACAGAACATTCTTCGTGCAAGAAATAGGAGAGTTAACCTTTCAATAAGCATCTCGACATTGAAAAAGAAAAGGTAGTCCTTGTTCCATATCTAAGGTTTAACAACAAGGTTGAAGTAGCTGATTTTTTTATTTTTTCATATCCCATTAAACCAATATGAGGTGCCAGGCGAAAAATAGCAAATTGATACTGCATGCATGCATGCTTTTTTATGAGCGACTTGTAAAAAAAAAAAAAAAAAAAAAAAAAAAAAGAATGGCCTGTTTAACCTCATCCCTTTTCCTTTTCAAAGGCCTTCGAACGCGCGATAAAAGATGCGTTTGTCAAGGTACAAAGACGATGGTATATAATACAGATGCACAGTTATGACAATGAAAAAAAAAAAAGGAAAGCTGTTGCTGCTGTTGTTTGCTGTTGTTTGCTGTTTTTTGTTCCTGTTTGTCCTTGTGTTTGTGTCTGTGTCCAAGGAAACAAAGAAGAGAGAGAAGGTACAAAGAAAGGCGTCCAAACAAATGGAAACAGGAAACGCGCAAAAGATGGTAAAATCAAGAAAAAAGCGATTGTTTACATGCACCCACTGGCTGTTTCTATCTCCTCCGTTGCAGTGCACTTTGTCAGCCTTTTTGACTTTCTTCCTCTTTCTATCTCTCTTTTTCAGCTTTTTTTTTTTATTTATTTTTCCTTTTGTTCTCTTGCCTCAGTTTGTCATCATTGGCACATAGCACACAAATTACATTTATACAGCACATTTTCTCTCTTATTCTTACTCCATCTCTTCCTCTTTCTCTCCTTTTTGTTGGTGTCCCCTCCTCTTCTTCCTCTTCACCCCCACTCTCATTCTCTCTCACTCTGCTTTCTCCACCCTTTTTACCCCTTCACTTCTTCACTCTTCACTTGTTAGGTTTCACTTGAATCTTCAGTATCCTTGTTCTTAATAAACACTGCTTTTCCCTTTTTGTATTCTCGCGTGTCTTCCTTTTATTTTTTAACATTCAAAAAGTGTCTTCAAGCAATCCTTTCTTCACCAATCAACTTCTTATTCACAACCAAAAAAGAGAATAAGAAAAAAAAAAAAAAAAAAAAAAAAAAAAAAAACAATAACAGTAAAAGTTCAACATTGGACTGTACAGAAGAATCCAAAAACACAGATGGGCACCATTCCTTCAAAGCCCTCCTTTAGTCCTGCTTTCTCTGCTTCCACACCCTCCTCACCCAACCCTTACAGTGCACGCAACAGCTCAGGCCAAGGTTCTGTGCTAGAAGCGCCTCACAGAGCTTCATTCTCTGTCGAGTCGCCTGTTGAAAAAGAGAAGCGGCGGCAGCTCCAACTGCAGCACCAACAGTCCTTTTCTTATTCCTCGCGTCCCTTTTCAGAACGAAGTCAGCAACAGCAGCAGCATCGTAGTAGTAACAACAACAATGCGAATAAGAGTCAGAATGAAGAGAGGCGCTCTATTGATAGAATGAAAGGTCGTACTATCATCAGCCCCAGTACTAGTACCAATACTAATACCAACAGCAATATCAATTCTGTCTCAGCGAACAAGAGCACCATAGATTATTCGGAAACAGGCCGTGCTGAAAAAATAGAATTATCGTTGGAAAATAATCATCGAAAGAACACTATCGCCGACAGCACTGCAAAGACATTCTCCCTCTCCTGTCAGGGCACTCATTCTCAGTCCTCACTCTCCGATAAGAGTATTGCAAGCATCAGCAGTGGTGGCAATGTCAGTGGCAATGGTAGCAGCGGCAGTAGTGGTGACAATAGAAGAGGCGACTCTACGCCCTCAACATCCATCAGCGCCGAAACAACCGAATCATTGGGTCAACTAAGCCTACAACGATTCCCTACAGGCGAGATCGAATACAAGGGCAAGACACTGTCAACAAGATCCAAAATAACAGAGATTACACCACGAAGGAGTTATGATGCGCAGACTACGACGTCTCGAGCAGTATCATCCTCGGCCCGATCTTCTTCCGGCAGTTCAGGATTTAAGTTTACTAAACCCAGCCTGTCTTTTAAACCATTGCTCAATAACCATAGTACCGACAATAAAAATCCTCAGCACATGTATCAACACCGCAATAACAGTAGTTCGTCTGGATCACCGAACGGGCACGACTCTGGTAGCCTTCAGGAACAACATCAACCACAAACACCTGACCCTTATGCTGGCTCCCCTTTTCCTCCGGTCCTGATGACCATCAAACTTCCACAATCTCTACTGGACAAATATGTGATCGATCAGGAAAGCTTCCGCCATGGGAAAGGAATCTGGGGTATTGGCAAATACAGCTGGACGATCACTGTTCTCTCACGAGCAAACGGCAAGAAGGTAAAATTTCCACATTTATGCGGTGGTCTTGATTTCAGGAGACCTGACAATGTCTTTGGATGATTTCATTCCCATCTCGCTGTTCCGGATGGTATCCAACTCACTATTTTTTTTTTTTTTTTTTTTTTTTTTAAAAAAAAATCTTTTTTTACAATGCAAACAGTATGTAATCAAGCGAGTGTCTAAATCTCTTTTGCCGCCATCCGCCTATTACCACTATCCGACAACTGCGCATCGACTATGCACTTGTCCAGCATGCAAGTCCAGTCGTGAACAGCTGATACTGACGGGTCAGCTCGATCAAAACGAGCTTGAAAATATCCAGGAAGTCCTCGTCATTGAGAACAAGGGTAGGAAGGATCTGCCTCAGCTCCCCTCTCCTTCATCCCAACAGTCCCAAAAGCACTCTCCATCCCGACCACTCTCAGCATCTTCTATATTGACTGCGACCTCCAGGGAGTTGTCCAAGGACAAAGCGAAACGAAAAAGCCTTCATTTGTACAGTTGTCATAATTCAAGTATGCCGAACCAACAGAGCCGCTTCTTGACATTCAGTACTGGCTCGTCTCCTCAACAAACCCCTATCAACTCTCGACCTTCCACACCGTCACCATCCCCTTCACGGCTATTTCCCGGTTCATCCGTCTCAGCATCGCCCTCTATTAATGAACCAGGGAAATCAAATGCCAGAAACAAAAATCAGCCCAATTCAGCTTCTCTTCGAAATGAACGATCTTCTCCACATAATGCTCATTCCCCTCTTTTACCTTCTGCAACACCACTTTCATGGCCATTTAACGAGGGCGATCAAACTGTGTCTCAGACAGGACATAGTGTCATCATATCTTCAACGAAACAATCCAATGTCGCTACACTCTCACCTCCAAGGATATCGAATGGAAGCTCAAAAGGATACTCCTCACCTCGATCTTATGTCAGGCCAGCCTTAATGTCACAGGGCAATTCCTTTGTTAAGAAAAAGAGAGCAGCACAAGTACTTAGGCGCCATGCTTCAGCCCCCAACCTATCTCGACCGCTAACGGGGCTAGATTTACTGGAAGATGATCCCTCTCGTCTGGAACAACTAAAACGACTTTCACGATGCAATAGATATGACTGGCTCTACGGCGATTCCAGGAGCCATCATCACAACGATCCCTGTAACCAGATAATCGATTCACACCCATTCATTCCGGAGTCAGATGGTCCGTTTTTGAATTCGCTATTCCCACTTACCCCTATCACGCCCTCATCCCAAGCCTTGATAGATAAGGATGAGCAAATACAAAGGAGCATTGACGGTGAAGATCATTCCCTTGACGCTTCCGAGAACGTTGAGATGAAGATAAATCCGTTGGATACGAACAATGGGGAGTTTGAGAGAATGAGTCTAGAATCAGCAAAATCCAAAAGACCATCAGAACCTCGAGGGTTTGTTCCCCCACAACATGCACTCCCTATGGAACTTGTGCTTTTGCAGACGTACAACGATTCAGATCATCTACCAGAACATCACGAATGGACGCAGGATCAAGATTATTGGTATTATGTCACAAAGATGCATGGGGTCAGGAGACGAAAACTGAAGAAGGTCAGCACTTGGTGGTTGGATATGAGCAGCCTTGGAAACGCTCTCTTGTCAAGTTCGTCAGCCTCAAGCGAGCCTATTGCTACGGGACCCATTTATAATATGGGACAAGGAGCAATGAGTATATCACCACTCTCATCGCCGTTAACGTCCGATGTAGCATTGTCCGATATCAATGCGAGTGGTGCAAGTCTAGGAGTCAATGGTCAAGTGGGTGGTAAGGAGCTGACTGCTGACTCGTCTCACACTAATCTCTCATCTTTTGCACCAACCATCTCGACCATGAAACGCCAAAGCTCTCCAAGGAACAGCCACATGGGCAAATACTATTATGTCGACTGGGATGAGTATACGTCGTACTAGAAGGAATGTGGGACGCTACTTTTTTCATTCTTTTTCCTGTCAGAGGCACTTTATTTTTCTTTTTCTTTTTCTTTTTTTTTTTTTTTTTTTTTTGTTTCCTTTAAAAAATCATTTTTTGTACATGTAGAATATATGCTTTTATTGTAGCTACTTTGTCCCCTCAAAATGACAAGTTGTATACCCAATGTTTGTATTACCTTTTTTTATTTTTTTTATATATTTTATTTTATTTTATTTTTTTTTATTTTTTTTTTGCAAGCGTGTATCTCCATTTGTTGAATCGTTAAAAAAAAATTATGAAATATAAAAAAAATAAAAAATTCAAACATCAAGCGGACCGCTTTTATTATTAAGAAGATTCAGTCCTTCGTCATCAGCGTCCTCGCCAAAAAGCTTGTGCATCGTCACTGAAGTTTGCAATAATAAAAAAAAAAAAAAAAAAAAAAAAGATTAAGAACTTGCTCAACTTGTTTTGAACAAAAAAAAAAAAAAAAAAAAAAAAAAAAACATACTTGCAACGTTCGTGGCATACGCCAAGAACAAGGCCATAAACAAGACAGTAGGTCCAAAGCGGTCATAATACTTGACATCCCTTCTAAGTTGGATCATCCATCGATGCCTCAGATGAAACATGGCAGTAGAATAGGCCAGTGTGGACATGGCGACAGTCACTAAACACAAGCCCACTCGATATCCTGCAGCTTCTGCGAAACTCAACAGCGTTAGAGCTGTGCTACCGATCAACAGCCCAAACTTGATCCAGTGCAGATAAGTCCGTTCGTTCGAAAAGAAGGCCTTCTCATCTGGGAGCATGTCTCTTGACTGAGCACCACTACGGCCTCCACGTTTTCGAGCCTGACGTAGATCGGTGAGCCCAGAAATATAATATAAACTAGAAGAGAGTTGGATAGGAGAAGGTGTTGGTGGTGATGGTGGTGATGACTGGCTGGCCCTGTTGTAAAGGCCTGATTCCTTGCCGGATAACTCCTGGAGAGTAGTTCGGGATGTAGGAGTGGTGTCGTATTCAAGTACAGAAGAAGATGGCTTAAGGTCGTTATTGGTATGTGGTGTTGACCAACAACTCATCCAAGCAAAAGCTTTTCGTACGAAGTCCTTGAGCTTCCTGGCGTCATTATCTTTATTTAAAAATCGTGACGACTGATATCCTCCATGATGTTGACCATTCTCTGGGCGAGAGTTGAGGAGAGTCAGTCCACTGGGTGAGCCTATTGCAGATGAACAATGCATGTCATCCGCACTGTTCATATAAACTAGGGATAAAGTTGTGTCGTTGCTACTATGAAGACTTCCTGAGATGCATGAGGATCTAGAGCTACTCGAGACCATTGTAGAGTCTGAGTGGCATGATAGGGCCGGAGAGGATACTGCGCTCGCATCAAGGGAGGTAAAAGATACAGGGTTACTTGCCTCCATAGGTTGCATGTTCCGTAATCGTTGTTGATAGCGATATTGTAATTGATGTTGTAACAGCGTCGAGCGAGTAAAGGAGGGTTGGAACTCTGTGCTACCCATGGGTTTGGGCGAATTAATGGCAATATTGAGACTATCTGTGTTAGCAGATAGAGCCGCCGGTATCGTTGATGAGGGTGGCCCAAAGGTTTCGGCTGCTATATTGGTGGTAGATGAAGTATCAGTTATTTGAGAAGAAACAACATGCGTTCCAGCTTGTAGGGTATTGAAATGCTTGCGATAAGCAGAGTAGAGGGATTTGCCACTGGTACGATTGCTGCCACTACGATGTAGAGTATGATGGTGTCTGTAATGAAGTACACGCATGCTGCCTTCTGTATCTATGGTCCTCGGTAAAGACTGTTCATATCTGGAGGAACAATTTGGATTTACTTCAGATCCCAGCCCTAGTCGGCCCTGGCATGATCCGACTCTAGCAATAGGTGTTGTCAATGATTCACCTGTGATATCTTTCTTGTTCTCTACCGTGTATGTACAGTCTGAAGGCTGGTTGACGGAAATCGATCGAATGTGATTTAATCCAGTTCTTGATTCGAATCCAAGCATAGTTGTGTGTGAAAATATTGATGATGATGAATGCTGCTTTGCTTCAGCTCCTGTGGAATGCGACCGATGTCGGTAGAGCATCCAAGGGACACCTCGTTGATCTTCGGTTGGATTGGAATGCATGTTCTTTGATGTAAACACTTTGCAAATATCGCTGTCAACGGGTGTTGCTGAATCTATATGTTCGGTATTGCCAGTATGACCATGCTCATTTGAAGAATCATCGCCGGATTCTTCAGTAGGCGTCTTTAGAGACTCAACCACGACTCCTTGCAATTGGTTAGGGCTGATGGGCGAAGTATTATTCTTAACCTGCAATAGCGTCGAGGGTTGTGAAGTCTTGATAGATAAAGATGAATCCTTTACATCCACAAAGCTTGAAATAGATATTGCTTTATTCGTGTGGTACATGTTGCTTCTTTGATCCTTGGTCGGTGGATCGGCGAGGATGGCTATGTATTGTTCACTTGAGATACCAGTTGGCAGTGATGATGCGTCCTGTTGCTGTTGTATTGATGGGTGTCTTAATGTAGGAGATTCGGAATCTATAGGTATAGCAGCGCCCTTGTTGGATTTCACGACATGTTCATTATCAGTATCATAATCTAAGGTGTTTAAGGATATATGCTGTGGACTAGGGGTCGCAGCTGATTTCAATGTAGCTGCCATCTGAAGCTCTGTTGAACTCATAATTTATCTCTTGATGAGATACTTTTTTCACCAGGAAGAACTTCAAAAAAAAAAAAAAAAAAAAAAAAGAAAAAGAGATGCAAAGGGTTTGGAGGGGTGGAAAAAGAAGAGGAGGAAGCCTATACATTCACATATACGCACAGCAACGTTAACAGAGTTGTGCTGGCCAAAAGGCTATTAAATACAGGTCACCGTTGGCGTGGCGCTATTAGCGATAATGCTGAATTATCATTCAGCCTGAGTGACATAGTGAATAAGCTGATCGTGTTGATCTTTGAATGCTTTATATAAGTTTACTTCATTCTTTTTTTTTTATTATTTTTTTTTATAAGCGTGGAATGGAATTAGAATACTCAAATGATGTGTAAATTCTTTGACCTATCAGTTGGTCTCTATACAAGAAAAGCAAAATTGAATAATGCTTGGGAGAAGAGAGCTATTTATCAAAGAGCAAGCACCACAACAACGAGCATTGTGCTGAGGGCAAGCCAATTGCCATTGAGAGCTACCGCCGAATTCAAGATCTTCTCGTCACCTTGATTCCTGGCCTTTTCAATTGAGACACCATTTTGCTGTCCTCGCCCTTTACCCTGATCTTGTTCTTGTTTTGGCTTCTGCTCCTGTTCTTTTTCTCCTTGAGGTTTGCTCTGTGACGCATCAATGCCATATGCAGAGTGTAGTTTGGTCATTGTGTGGTATGGGAGCCTAGACTCACTACCCTGAAGAGCTTGGAACTTGAGATCCTTTTGGACTCCATCGGAGCGCTGTCCGATCCATTTTTTAAGACCCCAGCCACCCTTTGCTCCATTCTCCAAATCCTTTGACATATCCTCAGCCGTAAATTTATGGTTCTTACCCTTCGACAATCTAGGCTGGGCACGATCCCAGGCAATATCTTCTGCCAACATTTCTTGATATGCATCCAGGCGAGGATTCAGAGCATCGGGCTTGAAGACGTAGCTGACAATATCTTTGAGAATCTGCTCAAAGCGAGCATTAATCTGTGGTGTCTCAATGATGAGCTTTTGAGCCAGTGGGGATTCAAAGCCCTTGCTGTTCTTTTTGGGGATCGCACGATACGAGCCCATCTTGCCATTGTAAGATGTACCAAAGGTATCGTCAAAATCTGTGGGCAGCCATGTCCACTTTCCTGTCACGGGATCGTTGTAGAACTGATAGTTGGAGCCAGAGTTCCAGTATGAGTCCCAAGAACCAGTTAGGTATTCCATGGCCATGCTCTTCAAGAACCCATCCAAGTCAAGTCTCTGTTCCCAGTAAGCAATGGGATCTTGGACCTTTGAAGGCTCATAATGTTTGAGGTCATTCATGAATTGGATTAAATCATGCATAGGATCATCCGCGGGATTGTTACCGGGCAGAATATTCTTGTAAATGTCACCAACGACGTAGCTCTTGGATGTAGGGCCTAACCATTCGAGATTGGCTTCGTGACCACAACACGAATTCAACTTCCAGAGAGCGCCGAGCTTTACATTTTTAATGTCCGGATGAAGGACCTTCTTGATCCAGTGCTTCTTCGTCTCCTCCATAGCGACGTAGAGGCCCACAGGCTCACCGTTAAAGAACAGGCGCACGTACGCAGCCTGCTGTGCAGGAACACCCAGGGAGTTGAGGATGTCAACATAAAGCTTCTCGCGCATCATTGTCGCATCCGTCTCTTCACTACGGAGTTTGAGCGTGGATAGATCAAGGAGGCGGTTCTTCTTTGGGAACTTGAGCTGATACGCCAGTTTTGCATATTCGCGGGCCGATTGACCGGACAGGTCGAAGCGTACGTCATTAATCTTGATATTATCGTTGGCACTAAAAGAGTATTGTAGAGTGAAGTGAAATGGATCGGACGTGTCAGGTATATATAGATATTTTTTTTTTTTTTTTTTTTTTTTTTTTTTTTTTTTTTTTTTTCATGATGATGAATGAAAAAGAGTCAAGTTAAACTAGAGATAGTACGTTACCCAATGTACTGAACATTGACCTTGATAGGTTCTGGATAAAATTCTGCTCCTCCCTTATTGAGATGCTTCCACTGTGCAGGATCGCCTTCGACAAACAGGTTGCCAATATAACCCTGTCTAAAGAACGGAGAATTTTGTTCAAGTTTGTTTTCAAAGACTTGGGGCAATGGAGGCAGATTGTAGATGGAGGCCTTTCTGTCAAAGAATTCATTGGGGGTGTGGAGGGCACCATCAGGCAGCTTACGGGCAGCCTTCTCTTGCTTCTTAACCTTGCCGTCCTTGCTCAGATGCACGTATCTGTATTCAAGTGGACCAGTAACACCCGCGACATTAGCGGACCAGAGTGGGTAAGTGTCTGCGGAAGAAGCGAGCTTCGTAACCTTGCCATTGACCTCGACACCATACTCATCCCCAGCATTGTCACGTAGGCCCACGACATTAAAAGTGACTATAAAAAAAAAAAAAAAAAAAAAAAAAAGTATAATTGACCAAATGATTGTTAGTCAAGGAATGGACTTGATCTTTTTTTTTTTTTTTTTTTTTTTCTTGTGTAATAAGGATGTAGAAGAACGAAAGACAAAAAGAGAGTGGATGTTACCATCAGCAAGAGCCATGGCAGCACAGGCTGCGAGACCGATTATGAGGCGAACCATTTTAGGATTTTGAAGCAGAAAGCGATGGCTATTCGATGACTTTGACGGCTTTCAGTGAAGTAGGGACTCGAATGTTTAAAAGAGTGAAAGTAAGGAATCGGTAAGGGAAGAAAGGAAAAAAAAAAAAAGAAAAAGAAAAAGTTAGTTTTTGGAAGTTATTAAGCATTACAGAAAAAACTTGTTTGATATATGCGGGACAAGAGGTGAGTAGATTCTCGTTTGACCTTGGACACGCGACGCCCCATTTCGGTCTCCACAGCCATGTTATATAAGTAATATTACATATTTGATTAATTTTCTATTCAGGGCTTATTCTGGTCTGACCTTCCAATAAAGCGGGATTATACACACCATTCCATTCTTGTCAAACATAAGAAAAAGAAAGACACACGTCGCATGGCTTGATTTATTTTTTTTTTTTTTTTATTTGTTTTTTTTTTTGTTTTTGTTTCAATCAGACATGGTTTTACTTTATGGTCCTCCGCGGTAGCTGCGATTCTTTCAGCCAGGTTAATGGACCTTTATGTCTTTACCCTAAAAATAATAATAATAAATTGACAAACAACGGTGTTACACAAGTTTTGCTGGTATTCCCACTCTTCACTCTTCAGATAACCTGTCCTTGTCATCGTATCAAAGACGCGTCATTTCACAAGCGAATGCTTAAAGTTGAGGGTAGCACAATTGCTATCGCGAGTTTAATCCACGTGATCAATTAAGCCAAAAAAAAAAAAAAAAAAAAAAAAAAAAAACGAATCCAATCAATCAATCCAATAAACACAGTCCAAAAAAAACCATTGTTGAAATCGGTCAAAATAGACCGATGGTTTTCTGAGTTTTTTTTTTTTTTTTTTTTTTTTCAGTTTCCCCCCTTCTTTCACTTTCATTTTTGCTTTAGAACGGGCATACAATTCCATCGCACGCAACCACAGACTCCCTTTGCTTTTTAACGTTTCCATTTAAACGAGTTCACATTAACTCATCCTCTTTTTTTTTTATATTTCCCTTCACCCCCTTCCATTCCAGGTCACATACGCTCGTACGCTTGGGACAGACTTACGTCTTTCATTTACGCAACCCACACACTTCTGCATACGCACCACCACGATAAAAGCTTTATAAAAAGGCTTTTTATCTCTTTTTTTTTTTTTCTCTTCTCTTCTCTTCTCTTCTCTTCTCTTTATCTTCAACTTTTTTTTTTATTTTATTTTATTTTATCTTCTTTATATCTCTCTTGCTTTGCTTTGCTTTGTTTGTCATTGCCCATTCCTTCCCTTCTTTCCCCCTTCCTTTTTGTTTCTTAGGCCTGCCCTCAAGGTCATCTCTTTCTTCTCTTTTCCCTTCCCCTCTTCCTCACTCCCTCTTCTCTCCCTTTCCTTCTCTGTTTCTCTTTCTCTCTTTTTTTTTTTTCTTTCTTTCTTTCTTTCTTTCTTTCTTTCTTTCTTTCTTTTTCTCTCCTTCTCTTCTACTCTCTCTCTTTTTCTCTCTCTCTCTCCACTCTCAAGAATGAGTGACAGTCCATGCTTCGCTATCCCTCATACCCACTCGCCTTCTTCGGCCTTTCAGCATCCGCACCAGTTCAGCGGTAGCTTGGCACAGCCCCGTCTGCCATATCATCAGCAACAACAGCGTCTCTCTCCCTCTTCTGGCAACCACCACATTAATTATCATAACATGGACTCTCCTCGTTGTAAGTATCATTCCTTTTGTCCTCTCCACCATTCCACATTCAATTACCTTTTCTCTCTCTCTCTCTCTCTCTCTCTCTCTCTCTCTCTCTCTCTCTCTCTCTCTCTCTCTCTCTCTCTCTCTTTTTTCACTTTATTTTCCAAATACTCTTGGTTCTTTGGCTCCTTTTTTTAAAACTCTTTCTTGGGAACGCACGAACTAACAATCTGTGGATTCTTTTAATCACATTTTCCGCGCACACACTTACACTTCCCGCTTCTCTCTTCGCTATTTCGCTCCTCCATATGCTCTTCCTCCCGCTCTTGCCTTTGTCGTTGTCGCACACCTTAAATGATTCCATTAGCAACCCTAAAACGTAAACCAAGCGATGACGTTGACAGCCCCATGCCCTCTTCTGGCCCTGCATCACCTTCAGACAATAACAGTGACAGCAACGGAATCGAACATGCAAAAGTCAAACGTGTCAGAACAACAGCGGAGCTCATGTCCAAGAAAAAAAGTGTCTCTAAATTGATTGGTAATTAAAATGAATTCAGTTACTGTCTTCTATACAAACTTTTCGACTATCCAGCCATTTTTGCATCTTGATTGATAATTGCCTATTTGGCAACAATATCATCATCTATCCTTCGTACCCTCCCTCCTTTTACTCTTGTCTCCGAAAGGATTGTGGGTTTGCTCAGCGCTTATTTCAGCGAGTTGACCAAAGATCATTTGGCAACTTGCGCAAGGCTTGAACAGTCGGATTAAAGAGCAACAGATTTATGCTTCCACCGTGTCTCTCTTATTATTTGTAATCTGCTCTGCTTTCATGACATCTTGGATACTGATGCCACTTCCTGTTGTCACTTTTTGTTTCTTAAATTTTAGCTACTCTCTCATCATCACAATTGATCAATCTTGTTGGTACTCTTGTGGATAATCATCCGTCCCTTGCAGACGAGATCGCCAATCTTGTGCCACGTCCTACTGTTGCTTCTGTTCAACCATTGCTCAGCACATTAGAGACAAAGCTTCAAGAGGCTTTTCCCTACACTAAATGGGGTCCTGGTCGCGACGATTATTCTTTCAATAGGGTCAAGCCTGCCCTGGAAGAGCTTGTTGTAAGTGGGCTAGATGCCATATAGAGACCATTAAAATCTGCCCCAAAGCCTTGAACCAAACCTAAATTTTCTTCTTTTTCCGCAATCTATCATATTTTACCTTTCTAGGAAACTCTTATTGATTATACCAACCATTTCACATCCCCACCAGAGTTTCCGACAACATCCTTCTCGTTTTTACATCTTGCCACAGAATTTTGTCATCGTCTCCCAAATTGGGATAGCGCAGTCAACAACGAGCCAAAGAAGAATCTGTACAAGTCGCTGGAGGAGTACTGGATCAAGGCTATTCAGGATGCGGCTAATAAACTGGGTGAGGGCAAGATTTATGGTCAGATGACCGTTCAAGAGTGGGCGAAAAAGTAAGAAAGCTCTCTCTTTTCTTATCAACATGTGTGTAGTTCTCTGATGTAGTAAGGGGTAGATACCATGATGGATTTCTTGATGTTAACGTCTTTATTCATCATTGCAATTTTCAACTATCTTAGTTTGGAACAGCACAATATCACATCCCAAGGAATGTTTTCTTCTGCCATCGAGGAGTTCAAGTCCAAACTGGGCTGGATCATTGGGATTCAGGCATCCCCAGTGACAAGTTTTTCTGATCAATCCTCGGCTAATGGCCTACGCTCTGCTTTTGGAGGACCATCAAATCATAACAATAAGCAGCGTCAGCAATAATAAGCAGGTCAGCTTCAACAGTTTTCAGCATTAGCAACGTTAGGAATAACGCGTGTGGGAAGGGGCAGGACCCCATATTGTCATCAACTTTATATCATTAGCATCTGCTACCATATTCTCATCCAGAACAACAATAGGAATAGTTAGTCTTCAACTCCACCGTCACCATCATCGTCATCAGAAGGAAGTTAATAACCTGAACATGATGCATCCACATCAATATCTTTTTTTTTTTTTTTTTTTTTTTTTTTTTTACCCTACGATATCAGCACTCTCTCTTCACCGACTCTTTTCTTTTTTTTTTTTTTTTTTTCAACACTTTGCTTTCGCCGCTATTGCCGTTTGTTTTTGTAAATATTGTGTTGTCTTCCTAACAGTGTCGGTTTTAGATTGAGTGCTTTGCTTTTTTTTTTTTTTCTTTTTTTTATATATTTGTAATCTCATTGTCATAGCACTATTGGTATAGCCATATTTCATATAAAAAACATAAAAGAAAAGCCTTTTTTTTTTTTTTTTTTTTTTTTTTTTTTTGAATCGGATATATTTCATGAATGTAGTTTGCTATGGCTTTTTCTATGGGGTATATTTCAAGTTTTTGAAATGACTTTGAACTTTAACATTGCGTCCCTTTGGCCAAACAAATTTGCCAGCCCAATTATCATTACCATTGTTTGTCCAAGCGTTCAAGACCAGCTTGTAATTTGTACCCTTTGGAGGAACGGTCTTGATAACAGGGCCTGTACGCTTCAAAACTTGTTTACCATCGACGAACCAAGTGATGGAGTCCTTTCGCCATTCGACTGCATAATTATGCCAACCTTTGGAAGCATCAAAGCCTAAGGGAACACGGACTGGATTCTGTCGACCGTTCAGCCAGACGTTCAAGTGGACGATGTTTGGATCAAGACCTGTGAGCTCAATATCGATCTCACTAGTGCCACCGGGAGACATTAAAAAGAGAGCTGTGACATGGCCCTTGACTGCGGTGGAGATCATATCAACGGAGTAACGGCCATAGTCCAATTGAGTTTCACGAGAGATGAGTTCACCACAGGAGAAAGATTTCTTGGGAGAACCTTTTTTAATGGAGATGACCGTGCCCGTTTCTGAAGGACCCGGAGAAGAAACAGAATCACGCATATAAGTACAGCTCCAGGCAGATGGGCCGACGTTATTGGGGATGATAAAGTTCTGGAGGCCATTGGAGCTTGAAGTTGAATCTGAGGAGATGTTTTTATTGATGAGAGGCTCAAAGAAGGGCGCGCGACTTGACTTGGCCGCTGTTGGGAGAGCAAAGGATGTATTGATTTTGTTAAAGAACGTTGGCATGACCATTGTGGCCAGTAAGGAAAAGAAGCATGAAGTTTTCATTTCAGTTATTATTGTTATGGATGTTTAGGTAATAATAGAAAGAAGAAGTGGTAAAGGAGATATTGGAAGAAGGAGGATCTTGTCGAAAAAAAAAAAAAAAAAAAAAAAAAAAAGGAAATGCGCGCGTTTTTATAATTAAAGGATGAAGAGAACCAAGGGAGGGGAGAAAGAGAGAAAATGAACCATCTTGTTTGGAGCGGAGGCAAAAAAAAAAAAAAAAAAAAAAAAAAAAGTTATATAATATCTACCCCCTTGTTGGTCTCTTGTGAATGGCCAGCTTCTTTATTAAGGAATTAACTTTAATTCGATGTCGAATAAGCTACTTTGAGGTTCAACATGGCTCCGTTTTAGGTTCTTTCTTTTCTTTTCTTTCTTTTGACCACCCGCCATTAGCTTTTTGATTTGTCCTTTGATGATTGTTGTTGATTATGTTGTCATGAATGTGAACTTTTTAGCAAAGATTGATCAAATGATAAGCAAGAACAAGAGAGAGAGAGAGAGAGAAAGGAAGAAACTTTTCATTGAGTATCGAATAGTTCCCATTATCGTATTAGGTTAACTAGTGTAGAGCCGAACTGATGAACCTTGCGTCGGTTGAAACAAACTAAAAAGGTGACAATATACTCAATAGTGAACAAGGATTCTTCACTTTCTTTGCAAGTCGTCGAATGATCTGCATCCGTTTTTTTTTTTTTTTTTTTTTTTTTTTTTTTGTAGGATATATATATGTACTTTCGAGAGTAAACGTGGAATATTTGCTCTCAACTCAACCAGACAAGAGTCCCACAACATGACCTCATCATCTCCTATTACCTAAAAGACCCTGGATAGGGTCTTTTTCGTTACGATGTACTTCCGCTCTGTCTGCTTTTTTTTTTTTAACTTTTATTCAAAAAGGACAAGATGAAAGAAGACAGCATTTTTACAGTTGAATTATAGGTTCAATGCTTATAGAAGGGGGAGGGAAAAAAAAAAAAAAAAAAAAAAAAACTATTATATCATGTGCTGGTTCGTAGTTGTAAAATATAGACACAGTAATATGGATTTACACATTATTTTAGAAAAGCACTGTAAATGCGAGCGCGACAGCAATCATGGCGGTGCTTCCAATGGCCAACACATTCGAGAAACCCTTTGATGATTCCGCGTTTGATTTGTTTAGTTCCTGACTACTCGCGTTTTCATTTTGGTGACTTTGATTATTGCTGTTACTACCGGTGGTGGTGCTGGCGGTGGGGCTGGCGATGGGGCTGGTGGTGGTGATGGCGGTGATACTGGTCCTACTGCTGTTGTTCTTGCTGTCTCTAGTGCCCATGTCCTGATGGTATTTATTATCAACAGTATTGTGGACAGCACTGTCTGTGTTGTAGGTTCGCGGTGTATACCTCATATTCCTGTATCGAGCCTTGGGAACGCGACCATCTTTGGGATATTTAAATTTCCCAGCCCAATCAATATTAATCTCTGGTTGGACTTGGGCCCAAGAGTTGATGACTAGCTTGTAGTTGGCCTGATCTGGAGGTGTGGTCGCAATATCGGATCGATTCAAGACCACCTGTCCATCCACAGACCAAACAATATGATCTTGATGCCAATCAAACGAATATGAATGCCAATCCTCGGAAGTATCAAAGGGGAGATTGATCGAGACCGGATTCTGAATATGATCATGCCAAACGTTCATCCACCCAATATGGTTGTTCAATCCTGTGAGCTCAATATCGATCTCTGTGTCTTCGTTGGCGATTAAGAAGAAGGAAGTGACTTGGCCTACAATGTTGGAGGCAATCATTTCGATCGAGTAGGTTCCGTAACCGAGCCTGTCTTGACGGTGGATAAGCTCTCCACAGGAATAGGGTTTCTTTTCAGAGTCCTTGCCTATTGTGATCATGGTCCCTGATCCGGACTCGTGCACTTGTGTTCGGGTGAATGAGCAGCCTATTTTATGGAAAAAAAAAAAAAAAAAAAAAAAAAGTTCGTTTATTAACCTTTTATTATTTGAGGGAACAACAACACATTCTGTTGCTGTGTAGTCTTGTGTAACAAGAGAGATCCAATGCTTTAATGCAGATGGACTAATTTTTTATTTTTTATTTTTTACCCCAACGTTCGGGTCCCCATCCATGAGCGACAATAAAGTTTTCATGAGTGTTTAGTGGTTCATGAATATTGCTAAGGCCTGATCGAGCATTGACTGCAGTCGCAGTCAGAACTGCTGTAACGAGAATGCCAAAAATCTTCATGCGTGTGGTTGTTGGAGTCTTTAAATGAGTGACAAATCAAATGCAAAGCACAGCAAGCAATAAAGATTGAATAGTAAGGATTATAAGACGTGCACGAAAAAGCGAATGGTGTGCTAAAAAAAAAAAAAAAAAAAGAAAAAGGAAAAAAGAAAAAGAAAGGGTTGAACGAACGTACCATTATTGGGAGACTTGGCATTGTTTTCTTTCCAAGTCCCGTCATACTGAGACAAGTTATTTTGTTCATGGATCCAGGCATATGTGATCCTTTGTTTGGCTAGATTCAAGTCAATTACGGCTTTTTTACTTAATAAGATCCTTGTAGATGACTTGAATCTAACCAAAAAAA